AAACGCAATACTGGAATTCAGGAGCGCCTCCCAACTCCACCCTCTACCCAACGTGACATTGCTCTCGACCAATGCCTTTGAAAATTCTTCCATCTGAAGCAGTATTAGACTTGAATCGGCCATTATAAAAATGGATTATTGATATTGAAGCATCAGGGATGCATGTGAATAACTTCCGTAGTCTATCCTGGAATACAACCTTACACCAATGATCCGGTTGATACATCATATAAACGACGTTCAAATTGAACATTGCGTGTGGTATTTGTTGGGTCGAGATTAAAACGTAGATTATTATTTGCCACATATTACATCCACCGATTAAATTCAATATGCCTACAAAATGATCTGAAGCTATCTCTCTTCTTTCTACCAATTCTATTCATTGCTAATAATAAGCAATGAATATGAAAAAGTGCTTTTTGAAGGAGATAAATGGCATTCGAATGCAAACAGTACCCTCGAAATCAATATCAGTCAGATGTCTGCGTCTACCATTTGGCACTGAATATCGCTTCTGTATACGGTAATGCTGGGCATCTATCTCTAATTCACTTGTGAGCATTTCATCCGTATTACTTAAATGAATCATCATCAACACCTGAATAGTGTACTCGATCAGCAATCACTCACCTACGTTTCTTCTGTGTGCAATCACGTATTATCAGATCGTTAACATCATTCTGCAATGATTTCGGATCGATTGCTTCCGTCTTCTGGAGAGCATTCGATCGATCTTTGTCTCGATTATCATTATCATTATTATTATTATTATTATTATTATTATNNNTAGTATCACTAATGTTATTGTTAATATTAATATCATTATTTGCATCAGCATTATTATCGTTAACATTCGTAATCTTCGCAGAATCCGGAATCACCGCCTCATCAGAATCCTCTGGTTGATAATCCCCGAAACTGTCATCGTCATAACTTATCTCGTCACAATTATCACTGCTACTGCTATCAGTACCGTTGTCACTCGGTATGATCGAAGGTTCACTGTAGATCAATGCCGAGGTGAGTGACGGCTGCGACGGCTGTATCAACAGAATATCCGTTTCGCTCTGAATATCGAAACTATTGCTCTTGAACCAATCGATTGTACTGATAAGAATCAAATTATTTTTATCGCTGCCGAATGCAAAAAACATTTCCATGAAATGATTGCCACAGAATTTACTCGTAAAAAATTCTTCTCGAAGTGACTAAGTCACGCTAGTGATAATAGTAATAAGTACCCTGATAAATGAAGGAACTGTGAAGAGTGGTTTGGTTATTCGATGATTATTGTTATCAGTATCCATCAGATCTAGAATTTAGAGCATTTGATCGATACATTTAAGATGGCTCGTGATCAATCAACTGATTGCTGAAGAAATCGCTCGTGATCAATTAACATCAGCAATCAACTGCGTAGTTCAATGGAAACTGTACTTCAGCGACAAAACACAATCCAATATTGTATGTCTACTGAAATTGTTGTTCACAAAGCGAATGAAATGCGTTTACTATTTAAAAAAAATGTAAATTTAGCCAAACACAAGCGAAAATACGTTGATAATATGCAGCATGAATGATTCAAGAGGAACGACGTAAATAAAGCAAAGACTAAAGTGAATGGCAAAGTATTTGTTGATCTATTGATAAGGAGTGATGTTCAAGCAATGCTTAAAAACCAATAAACTGGTTATATTCTTTAAGGTAGTGCCAATGAGAAAACGTTCTTTTTCGCTATCAAAAATCTTCACTTCACAAGAATAAAATTGTGCTGACGATGTGAAGTGACAATGAAATACGTATAAATTGAGGAATGAATGATAATAATAAAAGGCGGTATGTGATTAAATAAAATATATGTTCAACTATCACAGCGAACTGTGTGTTCAATGAACGGGTAGTGATCAAAATAATAATAAGATGTAAATGATATCATAAAAATAATAGATGATAAAAGTGCCGTGATAATAACAACGTAGTTATGATGAAACAAGTATATGGATTGGGCTATTGAAAAGAGCAGTTGAATGCTACTACTTGGGCTATTTCGAGTGATATACCTTCAGAAAACTAAAGAAATCTGAATAACAGAGCATACTCCCTCGCGAAAGCCGAGATTCTTCTTGATCTCCAGATCAATAGGCTATACGCGGAATGCTTACCACTTACTTCCCTAATTGAAAACGTTCCGTTCCTCGCAGTCACTGAAACGTACAGCGAAAATTCAGAATGCATTCTCAAAATGTTTAGCAATACTCATTCATTCAGTACAAGAACGGAACAGTGATTTGAAATATTTATTGGCAATTGATCATTGTTAAATAGAGGTATAACAAGTAAACACGAATGTCTTAACATAATATGAGTCCTTTATGAAAGTATCAAGCTGATGGGTGTATGTAATTGAAATCAACAATTGTTTCACAGGCACTTATGGTGTTTGGCCACGCCAAACGTTGAACGACAGCCATGCCATCACTTGAGACATATCCAGAATTGATTACTACTGAAACGAGGAAATAACAAATCAATTCACGAGAACTGCAATGAAACACTGTCTGAGTGTGAGATATTGCGATCGTTGAGGGTTTTATGAAAATAACGTCAGAAATGAGGTTCGCATGAAAATTATATCAGGTTGCGGGCGTTGTGAACCTGCGATCTGATACATCTTTCATTTTTTCAAAGATGATCATAATATGATACCGCTTGGAGTATGTGGCATGCTTGTCCGTATCCAATACACATGAATCCGTTGACACCATTGGTTACAGATACACAATCCAACATGCGATTAAAGCATTGTCCACGATTTTCATCATTACCTGCGACAAGAACAATTTTCGATTTTTTTTTTTGCATTTAACATTCGAAATAAGAGAGCCGATCTAAAATATCAAGTAACGTCACGTCGACGCGGATGAACTGTTTCTGACGGATTTTATTGGGAGAAAGTTTTTTTTAAAAAATATTTTGGCAAGAATATTATCTATAGCGAATATTCCCCTCAAAAAAGAGATTTACGAAAGAGCTGGAAAGGTCTGAGGATGAGTCAAATAAATGAATGAGCAATATTACGATTCGCCAACGGAGCCGTAGATTCTTTGCATGCTATGCCGTAAGTGAAGCAATCGATCAGAGTGACGACCCTGTTCTGGTTTTGATACGTGATGGACGCGTCACAGTCGGTTTTCATTCTTTGACATAGCATTTGTTCAATTTCTTCATCTAAAAGACATTATTTCATTGTGATTCGAGTGATCTTGAATCGATGAAAATAAAGGAATCTTTCAGTTGATAGTAAAAACGTCCTCAGTGCATCATCCTCAAGTTGTGAAGCATTTGAACACTTTAACACTTCGAAGATATTCTATGAAAAGGGACATAATCAAGGATGCTACAGATTTTTAAAGAAGTCTCACTTAAATTCACTTACCGATGTCGGCACGGGCAATGGTGAGAAGAGCGATTGAAGCGAACAGAATCACTTTGTTCATCTCGTAACGTTTTCCGGAATATTATGAATCTTCGAATTCACACACGTCTTATAAAACATTTTGTTCTACCCAAAATCCACCCTCTGCTCGACAATCCCGATTAAAAAACTCTTTTTCTCCCTCATTTCTCGCTCCTACCATACTGTCAATCGAGTCTTTTTCTTCATAACATCGCTATTTCATCGGGGGGTTGGCAGAAGAGGATGCTTATGAAGCTACTGGATTGGCCACTATGTAATCTTGTTATCGAATGACGTTGACTGTAAAACGGTGAGTTGAATTATGAAACATTGGCTTGTCGCAAGCTATGATCTCATTTGACGTCAGTCATTATGAATTCCAGTAATCCATTTCAATCATTCAACACCTCATTGATATTGAGCAGAATCCTATCAACAAACCCGAGTAATATATAAATTTATACAACGAAAGCAATTTGCATTTCATATCAACAAGTCTATCTATGATGCATTTGTTGATCTATGATGCATATCACATTTGATCACAATAGAATATCATATCACTGCAAAAAGTTTCGCGGTTTACTTCATTGCAAATTATTTTCTGGATCATTGTGTGTTGTATTGATACGCAGCGTAAC